CCGGTAGATTGTGTGGAACTCTTTCGCAACAAAGTCTGCAGTGTCCAACCTGACACATCATTTGGTATCTCAAATATATGCCTCCTTTACTGTTCAAAACCTGAGCTAAGGATACGACAGTTCTCTTGGCCCTCCCAGCATACAAACCATATGGGCAGCACATGCTGTCAGTGCCAAGGCCGATAGCTTCCAATTTGTCGAAGGGCCCATTGGATAGACAAAAAAAACAACCGCTGTACACAAAGGGCCGGAGCAAAGCACACTGCAGGAAATGGCAAGTTACACAAAATCTTCTTCTATTGCTGCCAAATGAAAGCATTCTTCGAGAAACGGGTTGGCTCTCAGGGCTGTTTTCCACACGGCTTATTGAGCTTCCTTAAATTGTTAACATATCAACACACTGGATGTTTCAAAACAGTGTGTTAGACCCCGTCGCCTCTACATCCTCGTTGCACCCCAATGAAGAAAACCAAAGGATGTAAAATAAAATTGCACGGTGGATTGCTGTTTCGATTTTTCTCGAGGATAGGCCACATAACAAAACCGAAGACACAAACGGCAAACAGCTCAGATCTTGATCCAGCCAGCTAGGCACCGTGCCACCTCCCACCTGAGTAGAAACACTATTCCTGCTGCGCTTAAGAGTTGGTCTTGGGGCCCCACGTTTTACCAACGCCCCCGTGAACATTCCAGGTCAAAGTTACTCCTCCTTGGCCGTTGGCCTTCCCAGACAAAACATATGAAACAATATATTAGAATATTAGACTATGTGCCACCATACGGAGCAGGCCTTGATCTGTTTGTTAAGCTTTTTGTTGACCATTGCAATCCTTTCCTGAACAGCATGCGGAACGTAGAAGCTTCCTGCCAACCTGGTGTGTTTGCGCGGGTCTCGAAAAACTTGCGAGTACTGAAGCACGCTCAAGCGACGCAAACCTAAATTCTAGCAAAGCGTTTTATTTAACATGTTAAACCTGAGGAGGGAACACTGTCATGATCGACTGACACTCCGTGATGTCCTCTTCGAGTTTGTACTGATCACTTGGATATTGGGTCCAAGACCTGCCATCGATAAGCAGAATACCCAACATGAAAATTAAGTAGGATCGAACACTCAACTAAGTCTCTCGCTTGGCTGTACGGCGTTTCTCCTCACTTGGAAGTTCATACATGTTGGTATGCTCCTTGGGCTCCTTGTCCCATGCCACCACCAACTCGAGGCTCTTTTCCTGCGTCTCCTGAGGTTCTCAGTCATTTGATGGGGTGGGAAGAAATTGGGCAGTCCTGTGCTTTGTCCCTTGCTTTCTTCTTCTTGTCTGCCTCCTGCACGAAGCTTTTTAGCTAGGTTAACATATTTGTGAATCACCTCCGAGTGAACCCATCTAGTGTACTAAAGAAGCAATCTTACAACATTGTTGAGCACGCTCCTTTGCCAACTGTTTTTCCTCCACTTCCGTTTGCTTCTTTTGGTCCTCTGCGCTCTTTTCTTTTGGAGTCACCTCTCTCTCACCACTCTTTGGTTCTGGTAGCTCACTCTTGGTTGTAGCCCGTCGGAGTCTTTTGCGCTTGCTATTCTCCTTCTCCTCATTGTCATGCTCTCGTGCTCGCTCAGCCTTGAATTTCTTCTCTTCCTCATCCAGGGCTTCCTCCTGTGAACAGTAATCTTCCTCCTCTTTTTCTTCTTGTTCCTTTTCATTCTTTTCACGTTCAACCGGCTCAGCCGGTGAAACTCTTCCTCGTCCTCGCCCCCTTCCACGTCCTTTGCTCGTAGCCTTTGCTTTTGCTTTAGCAACTTTCGCTGCTTTCTTCTCTCTTTCCGCTTCCTCTTCATCAGCCTTCCTTTTCTTTAACTCTTTCCGGAGCAGCCTTTGATCCTGCGCTCAACACAGGTGTTTAGCGAACAACAAATTAGTAGTTGGTAGCTGGCCTCCAAGACTTTGGAGATCGCTTCAGAGGAAGTCTCAACTTTCTTGGCAGTGATGAGACCAGGTACGTCGGGAGTCAATGGTCGTGTATCCTATGGAAGAGAAGGAAAAACGATCTAGAATTGACTGAGAAATCCCACCCTGGCCTGGAATGTACCCTTTCCTTCATCGACTTCACTCATCTCAGCCTCGATGTCCTCCTCGATGTCCTCCTCGATGTCCTCCTCGATGTCACGTGCTACTGCAAATGCTTGATATTGGATTGTTTGTTGACTGTCCTGCTGGTCTTCGTTTGCCTTTCGCTCCTGCCCAAAAAGATAAGTAAGCTGCAGCTGCTTTCTAGAAACTACTCTCTCACGATATGCTGGCGCTGCATTCCGCGGTGTCATAATAACACCTGCAAAATCTTGGAGCTTCGTTTGTTTTGGATCCTCAGCTTTCTTTGCTTCTTGAGTCTCTTGAGCTTTCGCTACTCTCGCCTCCAATTCCTCTAAAAACTTCTTTCTTTGTTCGAGCTCGATCGTTTTTGCTTGTATCATCTTTCCCAAGCGAACCAGCCTCCTTTGCTCCTGCTTCCTTCTTTCTTCAATTTGCTTTTGTTCATCTAAAAGCCTGGCCGTATCCATTTTGATGTCAGCTTCTCTTTGTGCATCGTCCAGCTTTTCCAAGTCTTTCTGGTTGCGAGTCTCCAACTCAATGACTTTTGCCTCGAGCTCCAAAGCTGCCTGTGCTTTCTTCGCAAGTTCTGCTTTTTTTTTCTTGGGCTTTTCTCTCTTCCATTGCTTTCCACTCTTTGTGTGCTTTCATTGCATCTTCAGAACTCAACTCAGCCTCCTTGCGTTGTTCCTCTTCATGTTCCTCAGTCTTTCGCACTTGGTCCTCCTTTACTTTTGCTTCCTCAGGCAGACTTTTTGCCTGGACCTCCCCAGGTGCCTCGGTCTTTGGTGTAGCACCCTCCCCAGGTGCCTCGGTCTTTGGTGCAGCACCCCCCTCCGCCTGGACCTCCCCAGGTGCCTCGGTCTTTGGTGTAGCACCCCCCTCCGCCTGGACCTCCCCAGGTGCCTCGGTCTCCTCGGTCTTTGGTGTAGCACGTGCCTCGGTCTTTGGTGTAGCACCCCCCTCCGCCTGGACCTCTTCAGGTGCCTCGGTCTTTGGTGTAGCACCCCTCTCCTCATGTGTGTCTTCTGGCCCAGACACGATAACATCATCATCAGTCAACTCTTCTTCCTCACTTTCCTCAATGATGATCTCTGGGGTTTTGGCACCTTCTACCACGTGATTGTTCTCGGTCTGTGGAATTGCCTGGCAAATTTGCAGGAGCCCATAGATTATTCCACAAACACATTATCCCCGTCCTTCAATGGCTTGCGAATAGACTTCGTGCGTTTGACACAGCCGTGTTCCTGCAGGAAGCCACTGGCTCTATATTGAAAAATGAATGAAAAAATCTCTCCTCAAAAATCCTCGAGATGAGCTGTTTGATCACGCCCATGTTGGAACCCTTTTGCCTAGATCAGGGTAAATTCTACATGATTTGATAACTTGAATTTGCTTTTGAGAAAAAAGAACGCCTGGCTTCTTTGGAACGTCGATGGTAGGTCATGAGCTTTGATCCAAGCAATCTGTGGAGGTTGCCTTCAGTTAGGGCCCAGTCCTGCCAGAACACTAGATCAACAACAGCTAGCTGTCCACGTACTTGAATGAGCGGTCCATCACAGCATCATCTCGGTCGCCCCCCCGACTCCACCAGCCGATATTTCACGGCAATTTGGGCAAGAACTTCCTGACAATTTAAACGAAAACAATGTCATCATCTCCAAAAATGTCACATGACAAACCTGCCTTGACTTCTTGCTGCGTGGGAGGGTCCAGGCCAAAATTAGGAAGCCAGCCGATGGCAAATCTGGTATTGCCATCCGTTTGCAACTGGCCACAGATGAATTGAACACGTGTGCAACTCCGACCCCAAAAAAAGATCAAAAGAGTTGAGTGTACTCAGGCGTTTGTTTCAAACCAACTTGCCCACCATCATCTGGTCCAAGCCATTTTTTTTGTGGACATCGATGAATGAAAATACCACTGGCACCTGGCAATCGACGAGGTATTAAGGAAACAACATGCACCTTGGAACAAGACAGGAGTACCTTACCGTCGGCCAAAGCACGTGTCAAGTGCTTCTCTGAAAAGCCTTCCTTTTGGCCCAACTCCATGAAACGGGAAGTCCTGTAGTCATTCTCCAAAAGATCCATGTAGAGATCCTGGTGGTGACAGGTTTTGGTGATCTAATCCCATGATATACCTACCCTAATCAAGAAATCTCAAGAAAAGTGGCGGGCCTTCAACAATTTCATTCTCCCCTCATCAGGTTTCACGGTGGGCATGGCTCAAGACACGCCCAGCTGACAGTTCTCTATGTTTCTGCAAATGCATGCATTGAGAACATGTGTTTGACCACTGCCGATTGAACCTTTCAAGGCCAAGTGGAACAAACACGTACCAGCAAAGTCATCAAAGTTGAAAAAATCGATCAACGACTATCAAAAATATAATCCAAACATTGCTAGGGGAGGAAAGCACCTCTCGCACAACCTTCTCGTCCGAGAAGAGATAGCTTCCCTGGGTCACAGGAAACAGCTTGACGGGTAGAAAGTTGACAAGCCTGCATATTTGGGTCCCGGACGTTTTCGCAGTGCTTTCTTCATCTTGCACCGCCATCAACCGTAGGCTACTAAATGTGACTTGAAAATACTTGAACATCGTGTTAAAAGAATCCAAAAGTCAACACATTGTCTTACAATTTGGAACGAGAATTCCTCGATGCCACCAAAAAATATGCTCAACATGTTTGAGCCACCTTAATCAAAGGCCAAGGCAAGGTGCTCCCAAATCACGGTTAAACATAGACATACCGTTGCGTCCAAGTAAAACTTGATCATAGAAGATTAGGGCAGAGACATTAATTCCCAATCGCACATTCTTTGAGCTGAGAGTGGTCATGACGCAATGTTAATTTATGTCAGTTCGATCAATCGATTCCATCGTTTGACCACATCGTTTGCCATTTGCGCAATGCAGGGCCGGAGATGACGAGAATCACCATTGAAGGAGTTCTTTTGGCCGCTGGGGCTGGAAGAGAAAACGCTTGAACCCTCCGCTGCTGATAACGCCTGACGTGGGCGAATCACTTCCGGAGACGCGGGAGTTCTCTGAAAAACATGGGAGTTCTCCGGGCGGGGCGGGGAACGGCCAATTTGGCCCCAAAGGGACGCACTGCGAGCTTTCACACCTGCGGCTTCCAGTGCTACGAGGTGAAGGTGATAATGACAAGCTGCTAGTGTGAAGCCTCTTCTAGAGGGTGCTTCTAATAGCTTGTCCGCAACCAGAGGGTGCCTGTCAAGCTTCTAATAGCTTTTCTATGCTTTTCTTCTAGCACCCGCAACTGGACTACCATTCAAGCCCAAGCTACCAGTGGGTGATATGAATAGCATTGATGATAAGTATAGTATGTATGACTAAGTCGTTTCTTTGCATGCATTCGCGCCACGTGGACACTACCCTTCAAGTTCTCACGTTTGCTTTATTTGCTGATGTTTCTATAATATGTTGTCTACTTGCACCTCACCTGCTAATAATTGTCACTTTTTTGTGCCTTTCAACATTGTCACTGCCTGATCGCGATTTGTTTGTAGGCTGAACCGTCATCAACCCTAAATCCTTTGGTCCATCACTGTGGCGGGCATGCGGGCATGAACACTCAGTTGCGGACGTGGAAACATGTTCATCAAGCCCGACTCGTCGCGGTATAGAATTTCAATGGAGGTCCTTGTATAGTGACAATGCATTGGATGATGTTGTTTTCCATCACAGTTCCATGTACCTTCTAAGAACTCCATGTTCTAAGGATCTAAGGTGGGACTCTGGTGCACTAAAAACAGCCCCCCCTGAGCTGCACATCTGTAGTCCAAACCGCCGAGCTGCGGGTTCCGCCACTGCGGACCTTCTAAGGAGCGAACCCTTGGGCACCCGGAGCAGGAGCCATGTCTCGACCGGCCACGACCAATGTGTGCCAAACCAAGAATTGCCGCAAGGGCTCCCTGTGAGGTTGGAGAAACCAAAACGACCAGGAGGGCTCCATGCTGAGGTGGGCGATGGAAGTCACCTCCCGTGGATGTGATGTGGTTCTGGGCCACCCCGACTTCCATCTTCGGGCACCCAGACACGGACTGCCATAGGACTGGGAGCACCATTGATGGGTCATGGGGTAATGGGGTAACATGTGTTATAACTAGTGAATGCCTGGGCTAATTCATGTGTATTTTTATGTATTCCTATCATGCATGATCAGTCATATTTATTTATAATTTGTAAGATGATCTTCATTATTCAATAGCATAAACGTGTAACATGTTTTATTGTTGCTACTGTATAGATATATATTGTCATCTCTGCTGATGTTCTCCGTTGCTTCTCAAATCCTCGTCAACCTTTCCGCATTAACCGGTGGCTTGGTCTCCCAACATCACAGGGTGTCAAGGCCCATCGGCCATCCGGTACATTCCGGTTCTAGTCATTGCCAAAGTGATTGAAGCATCGGATGGGCTCTCCAAGCAGTTGAAGTGGTGCATGGTGGTTGAAATCCCGAACTGCATCAAAGATACGGCAAATAGTTTTTACCGACTGTTTGTGCAGGAGTGCTCAACACATTTTTGTTGTTCCTTACTGCTTTCAAATATGTTGTCTTGCTTCTTCTCCAAAATCCTTGAGCCTTGAAGACATATGACGCATTCGACTATCGGATCTATCGACCTCTACAGCAAGTGAAGATCGATGGTCGGGTGATGCTTTTAGGTCGGAAGGTCCAGGCAGAACCTGATCGTGGACGCCACCTTCCGGTTTTTGCTGGGGAAGGGTTCGGAGGAATGGTCCAGGTCTGTTCAGTTTTTTCTCTGACACAGAGATCCACTTCTGTTTCCACTATACTTGTTCAAAAGAAGCTCCTTCAAACCCCAGCTGGGGTTGTGCGCAGATTCATAGAGTTTCGCCTTTCCTTCGAACATGTCCAAATTCAACCTTTGGTGGCCCTGTTCATGTTCGTACCCTAAGGCTCCTGGCCCACATCCTCAGTTCGGTACTAAGACCCCAAGAACCTACTCCAACCACCGAACCTCAGGTGGGACAGGAGCCCTATGGGGTGCACTCGGCGCGGATCTTCTCCAGGAGCTGCGCAGTAGCTGGGCCGTTAGGGCTCGACGTAGCCAACTTGCGGTGGAGGCCAGGCAGCCTGGTGCGAGCAGAAGGGATTACAGTTGAAAAAAAACATGGTTTCGGCGATGGCGTGGCCCCTTGGATGACCATGGCATTTGCTATATATATATATAGTTAACAGGTGGTGAACACCATCTACTAGTGGAGTGACCACGAGCGACCAAAGACATGCAACGATGCACGGAGCAGTGTTTGTTCGATCACCCTTTGGTGTTGGGGTATTGGGAAGTCTTCTCAAAATTATTTTGCGGCGCTAACTATGGCTTGCCACTCATGAAAACATGAGAACTCAAGATCTGGGAGTTCTCCTTTGGTGTTCTTTCTGAGAATCTTTGATCTATGACATCTATGGCTTGGGTCTGATTGAACTTACCTGCAACATCCTGCAACAGTCAGTAAACAATGATCACTTATCACTATTTTTATACAATGGCCTTTACTAATGAACATCATCCACCGGGCCCTGGTATACCTAGAAGAACCAAACGACTGAAATTCCTGCCTCTTTGGGGAAGAGCGGCTCTCCCCGGGGTGAGGCGGAAATCAAGTTTTTGGCTGCAGATTTCCCCTGCTTGGCGCGAATATTTCCTCCCTGCCGCGAATATTCCCTCAGAGGATCTGAGCGGTCCGTGGTGAGACATAATGAGAGAGAGACCATTCCAACATCTCCAATATCCACTGCAATCACCAGCATTCGCCAATTCAATCCAATTCAATCCCAGCAAAGGGCCAAACACAGTGGAACACAGTGGAACACTGTCTTTTACTTGTGATGGCTAGACAATGGTGGACGATGAGGCCGGGTTCTCTCCTGGGCACTGCTTTTGCTTGCAAAGATCTCGATGGAAAGGATCATAAATGCAGTTCACCCCTTGAAATGGGAAAAGCATTTCGGATCAAGGAAAATTTACTGTATGTGTGTAGGGCTCTCCTCCACTGATGACAGAGCCACTTTTTGATGCCGAGACGATGGCCGTCTTAAGAGCTGCAGGCCTGCTTTGTGAAACATAATGTGTTCCTTGTCTCCTCTTCTCCATTTGGGATTTGGCGAGAATGGGGGGAATCCCGCAAGAGGCCTCGATCAAATGCCTTCCAAGTGGTTCGGCGAAGCCAAGCACGTCTTATGGCCGGAGAGGAGTGATGAACTTCCAGTGACTGAGTCTTGGCTTAAAACAATGTCCAATGTTCCTGAACTTGTATGAGCAGTGTTTCCCTTACATCGTCCTAGGACAAGACCACGTTATCCAAGACAGAAGCGGAATCCATCGTTGAGAACTTCAACAACCACGGCTCCATCCGCGAACTGGCCAACTTCCTTTGGGAATACCAGAAAGTGAGTCACAGGGCTGCATCTAATCCCAAACCCAAAAAGAAGTGTTCAGTCTTTTTTGACCTCCTCGACCCATACCAGCCCCAGGTGATGAACGGTACAAGCGTGCGACTGAGGGCAAGGAATGGACCAATGACGGCACCCAGCCGGAAGATTCACAGTCACAACAGTAGACATGAGTAGAGACTTCAGAGTCAGGGTACCTTTTTGTGCTGTATGAGCGGCAAAAAATCTTTGTTTCTCCATACTTTGGAGTTTGTGTGTGGAAACAATGTCATCGAAACTTGAAAGTAGAATTCCCTACAGCACATCTGTGCAGGTGACAAGTGCCTCGATGATTTGGAGGCCAGGATCCCGCTAAAGGGTTCTGTTTATCGTCTTATCCCCCCACTAATGCAAAAGCAGTGCCGGTGAAAATACGATCACTCTGCAATCCCGCTCGTCCTGCGGCAGCGCCGGCGTGTAAGATGTGCGAGTCCAACTAGAAGCATTTTGCTCAAAAGGCTTTTTGTCTTGGAATAGTGAGTTTGCGTCTTCACCATGCCTAAAAAGGCAGAACCACGCATAGAAGGTTCTCTAGATGGCTTGGCTGAGAGATTCGATGGTGCACCCTCAATCCGCAAGTATGCTCTTGAGACTTCCAAGCTTTGCAAGTGGCCAAAGCCCGAGAAGACTGGACAAATGAGTCTGGCCAATGCTGCGCTGAACCATGAAATCCTTGAGATTATCATCCGTCTTTGGGCCCCTCAGTTCACCGCTCCTATCATGGTGCCAGTTGATCTCCTCAAGGATCAGGTAGGGGATTGTTTTTGTACTTCGTGTGTGTAAAAACATGTCTTGCGCCCACAAACTCATTTGTTGGAAGCATCGACCCCTGCCTAGGTGAAGAAATTTCGTGATGGTCTTCACTTGCAGCACAAGGCCAGTCTGGTGCATTGCGAGTCCCATGCGCTGAAGGGGTTGTTCACTACGCTGATTCATCGCCATGATGGATCTGTTCGGAGAGTGCCTTGATGAAAAACACCTAGCGAGAATGTTTTTCTATGTGTTTCTCTATTTGACTTTGGGGTCAGTCTGAATGTTTCGGCTTTTCCGCCTAGGAGCCCAACCTGCGTCGCCTCTACGATGTTCTGACGGAGTACTGGGCACCGAGGCCTAGGTCTCGTACTTCTTTGAATCTAGGGGATGATAGCAATGAGCTTGATGTGCCAAGCGCTGAGCCTGTTCATGAGCCGGAGCCCGTTCCCGCCACACAGGCATCACCTGTCGCCTACCCCAGTCCTCTTGAAGCTCAGCCCCTGCCACAGCCAGGGGCACCTGCAACGCCAGAGCGGAAGTCAAACCCAACCCCCCCAAAGGAAGAGGAGAAGCTTGATGGTTTTTTGGCATGGAGCTTGGGTTTTACACCTCCCCCAACTGTGGTTCCAGAGTGGTTGGAGGAGGACCTCCCATTTTCCCCTTCAGTCATGCGAACTCAATACTACTCTCCAACTGCCATGAACAAAACACAGGATGCAGAACAGGACTTTGGCCCAACCCTGTCTGGCATTGAAGCAAAGCTGAAAGCGTTGGAGCTACTAGCCTGACTTCAGTCGTGATGTCATGCGCACTGCTTGCAATCAACCATAATGGTTTCAGGGATGTGTCCTACTACTGTTGTGATACGAGGTTGAGCATGCAACAACGCAAACTCGTGATTGAGGGCCAGCGGAAGTCTGCCTCCTGGTCGGTTGCGGGTGTGACCCTTAACAGAAATATGCCAGCAGTCTAGAAGTCTAGCAGTGTGTTTTTGGATGTTTTTGGAACATGCTTGGAATGCATCTGCTGTTCAATGGGTTCCTAATGGGTTTTTGCTTAGGTGAGGCAGCGCCTGCACAATTGGGGGACAATGTTGAAACCCTTCCATTTGAGGCCACCCAAATAGCTGCCCACATGCAGCCTGGTGATGACAAGGAGGTTTTGCAGGAGGAAGGAAAGGAGCAGGGAGAGCAAACAAAGGTTGCTATGCAGGCAGGAATTCCAGCCCCGCCCCTCCCCATGGACAGCCAGAAGCAAAGCCACCAGATCGAGACGTCACCAAAGCAGCAAGCCGGCAAGGAAGATCCAGCGCAGAACCAGAAGCATGCAGCAAAGCAAACCAGTGAAGGTGTACCGGAACCTTCGGCAGAGGCGCAGAAGGCTATGAATCAGGTTCTCCACCCCGCCCATCACATCTTGGATGTAGTGGTTCACAAGGACGGGATATGATTTGACAAGGCACACTTTGTAAAACTACAACACGTCTTGTTGCATTGTATGGTGAGCTGTTTCTTGCGGCTAGGACGCTGTTCGGAGAGCGGACCAGTCTCAGGTGAAGGAGTCCTATGTCCCGAATGAGGAGGATGTTCCACAACCCCCCAATGTGAAAAGCAAGAGACGCAACAAAGGTCTGGCGAAGGCAAAGGCTCGTGCCAAACCTAAGGCTCGTGCCAAAGCAAAGGCTCGAGCAACAGCTAGAGCTAAGGGGAAGGCAAAGCCAAAGGGTCGTGCGAGAGCAAAGGCCAACAAGGAGCAATGTGAGCAAAAGGATGAAGAGGCAGGAGGTACAGGTGAAGGTTTCAGCGAGAAGGCTCAGGTTCGCAAGCGGCCAGCGTCCAAAGTACCAAACCCAAACCCAAACAAGAAGCTCAAGATTACTTTTGCGCGTCGGTACGAACCCAAAGTTGAACCATCCAAGAGCCTGTGGCAGAATTTGCAGATTGCCTTTGAAGCAGAGATCTTGGGTAGGGTGAAGACCCCTAGCTCTTTGGAGGAGCCGTCGATCTGCGACTGTTGGAATGTAGACCCTCGCTGTGTCCTCGCCAAAGTGGGTTAGGGGGGTCTTTTCATTTTGCAGGATCCTTTCTGGACGTTTGCAAGTGAGCAAATGAAGTTGCTGCCACACATCGATTGTTCCAACTTTCCTGCCCTATCTGTTCGCTGGGCGCGTGAGTTTCTCATGACCGAACAAGTGCGAAGCAGCTCAGAGTGCAGCAGTGTTGATTCCTTTCTGGAGCAAAGTTTTTGTTGGGCTCCTGGGTGGAGGTTCCTGTGGGCTCAGGCAAGCTCCTTTCATGAATGATTCGGCTTGACAAGCAGGACATCCCATGATTGCCGTAGGTTTATTTTTGGTAGAGGGTAGGCTGTGCCGTGTTTCACGAAAGCCTGTGTGGTGCAATGGTGCACTCATGACACGGGATAGCTCTGACACGGCAGTCTGCCCTAGTGGGCATTTTGTCAGGGATGTGACAAACAATGAGGGGGCAACTTGGAAAACAGCGTTTGCAGTTTGCACGTGTTTGCATTGCCGTCCACATGCTCACAGCGCCGCAGCCGCTGTATGTGGCTGACCCCATGTGTTTGCAAAGACGTCAACCCTTTTGTGGTGCAGGTCATGCCGCGTACCTGTTCAGCCTATGCCAAATGGGGAGATGATGTGGATCCAGTGCAACAAAGTCAATCTGGCCTGCTTAGCTGCCAGACTTTCTGCTAGGTTTGTTGCGCCAAGTCTGGCTTCACACTCATGTCGTTGAAGCCTTTTGGGGTCCAATAAAGGCGGTTGGTCTCACCAAAGCCATGTCCCCGAGTGAGATTGAGATGACTATCCGGAGGCTGATAGCCATAGGTGCTCCTAAGGTTCCCTGGCGGTTTCAGTTCT